CGCCACTGTGGTCTGCATTTCCCCCCACCCCCAAAGCATATGTCTACTCTTTGAGCTGGGAGTGTGATTTCCAGCTCCAGGGACACACTTGCATTAGCTCTGATTGAGCTAGTATATTAGAAATAGAGCATAGCTGCAGCCGTGCAAAGTATGTACTCATCCAGGATGCTAGGCAGGTACTCGGGGCAGGTTAGTCCTCCTGCCGCTTGCATTGACACAGCTACGTGCCAGCTCAATCAGAACTATGTCTCCTCAAGCTGGAATTTACACCTCCATATTAAAGTGTGGACATATCTAAAGAAAAACTGCTGACATTTTGGGTACAGAATTAATTTTCTGAGAATTTACAAGTAAATTGGTTAATTAATTTGAGTTAAAATTTAATTAAAAATTAGTCATTACAAATTTGACTCTTGGTGTTAGATTGTTTCCTAAATCTGAATGTATTTAACGGAATAATACAAATGCTCCAGCATTCCCTTGTGGTTAAAAACTCACTGAAATCTTGTTTCTAGGCTACATTTGAAGTCTTTTTCCCCCAGAGTTATGGGCCTTTTCCCCCATTATATTTTATAATGGAAAGGTTTTCCTTTGCCGAGAATGACAAATATTCTAGTACTGAGATTCCATGGAGAATTGCCCTATTTCAAAATGGCTGTCATCTACTATTGTTCTCAATGGGATTGAGGCCACAAGCTGCTCTTAACAAAGATAGCTGCTAGGTTGCTTCTCAGTAGAAACAAAGGAGTGAGCGTGTCTATTTTCAAAGATTCCTAAATTGAGGGCAGCTGTATTTTAGTCATGTGGAGACTTCAATGGGAGATAGCAGAGGACTTTATACACCAGCCTCTTCTGATGGATAAATCCTCCGTCATGCCAGAAGGACATGTCACTGCTTCCCGGGAGCCACCTGAGGTAAGCGCTGCCCAGAGCCCACACCCCAAACTCCCTCCCACACCCCAACCCCCTGCCCCTGCCCGGAGTCTGCACCCCCAACCCACACCCCGTACTCCTCCCACACCCCAACACCCTGCCTCAGCCAAGAGCGCCCTCCCACACTCCAAACCCCTCAGCCCCAGCCCAGAACCCCCTCCTGCACCCCAAATCCCTCATCCCTGGCCCAACGCCAGAGCCCACATCCCCAGATGGAGCCCGCACCCCAACCTCTGCCCCAGCACACGTGAAAACTGAGCAAGAGAGCAAGGGTTGGGGGGAGCGAGTGACGGAGTGATGGAGTGAGGAGGGGTGTGGTCTCATAAGAAAGGGGCAGGGCAAGGGTGTTCAGTTTTCTGCGATTAGAAGTTGGCAACCCTATTTGTTCTGCTACACAGCAGACTGATAAAGATATCTATAAAAGTAAAAATAAAATATTAAAAGTTGAGATTAAATATTTTCAATTCTTTAAAAATATCCCAGGGTAACATTCCCTTTTGGGGAATGTTATTTCTTCATGTATGGAATTTTAAATTTGAAAACTCAAGCAAATTCCCAGGAGAAAACTTCGTTAAGGTTGAGAGCACATATCAAGGTAAAATACATTAAAGGGATAATGTTTTCACCCCTCAGCTCACAGAGAGCCGAGAAGCAGTTATCCCAAACCCAAGCATTGTAAACACGGGAAATTCAAAGTTAAGATTACATTTAAAGGAAATCCAAATGTATTAAGCTATGTAAATGCACAGATAAGTAACCCTGTAATGGCACAGAGTAGAGTGTTTAGTGGTGGAAAAAGAAAATGTGTCTTTAAAAATCCATTTAATGTAATCTGGGACCACACACGGAAATGCCTTAGTCATAATTGTATGGTTATTGCATGGTTTCCCTACATGGTAGAGTTAGGGTTGTTTGGGTGCCTTTTCATACTTGAGCATGTTTGGATTTCTTTTAAGTATAACCTTATCTCTGAATTTCCTAGGTTTCTAATGGTTGGTTTGTGGGTATTTGCAACATCTGATGGTTTGGGGATAAATACAGTGTGTTTTAGCCTATATTACTGATAGGCTCATACTTAATACTTAGCATTGTTTTTGGTTACACCAGCTAAGATAAAACTTACAAGGACTATAAATTTTAATACATCATGACCTAAATTGTTCCCTTTCTGGAGTCAGGGAGGAATTTTGACACATTGTAAAATAAGTTCCCTGACAAAAACCATGTTAAGACTTATTTAAACTTTAGAATACATATCACTAGTTTAACTGATTAAAGCAGGTGTCCTGTGACGGGTGGGAAGAGGAGAAGTATATGGCATGTAGTTAGACAGTATCATAATGCAAACACACAAGAGGCCAAATTAAGGTGCACAGACAACCTTAATTCTAACATCTTCTAACTTTTGAGAGCTTGACTTTGTAGCCTTCTTTTTTTTTTTAATGTAATGTACCTGACAACTACTGGATGTTACAATCACCTTGAAAATAATTTGCAATTGATCTGGAGTGTGGTGGGTGAGGGGAAGGAAATATTGTCACTACAAAAGAAAATAAATGGATTGTTGGTGTCTTGCTAACTTCAGATAAATCACAAGTTGGTATCAAAATCTCAGAATATACACATGAGGGAGATATGGAAAAGACAAATAAGCCATAAAAGTCTTGGAACTTGATTTGATAATATCAAGGCTAAAATTGTTTAAACATACACTGAATAAATATTATTAGAGGATTCATCTATCTTAATGGATTTCCAACTCAAGAATAGCTTTTTTTTTATGGTATACTTTAATTTTTGTTGGTATAATTGTTAGGCTTTTGTGAAAGAGACAGAAAGCAATGATCGAGATATACAATGAGTCATGCTCAAGTACAGTGCAAATGGAAAAGTCTGTTTGTTTTTTAAAAAAACAAACAAATGAAAAATTCCTCATCCAGGATGCTGTTCTGACTCCCATTCACAGGAGTATTGCAATAATACAGTACTTACAGGCCTAAATATATCTTTGTTTTGAAAAGGTCCTAGGCCCAAACCCTCATCCCCTGCATCCTTTCTGGATAATAATAATTAGGCTTATCATAAAAATAATAATGCTTTGCCACCTCTTAATTATAAGTGATTCCTCTCCACCATTATTAATCCACTTCATGAACAGCCAGCCTAAGGATTTTGGAGAGAATTTGTGAGAGGATTGTTTGGGATAAACTCCAAATCTGACTGACTCATTGTACGTAAAACCTCTGGGTATGTGCATGTTATTTAATGCCTTTCCAACCCCCATCACTTCTCACCTCTTGCTGCAGAAATGCAGCTCATTTGCTTTTTCCTTTCGAGTTTCATGATTGTTTGCTATTGGTTTACATTTTCAGTGCTGAGATTCCAAGGAAGAGGAATACAAATGTATTTTAAAATAATCGGGGGATCTTGTGGATGCAGGCTTTTCTGGGCCTCGTAGGGTGGTTCTGCTTCTGTGGCAGCTGTGTTCCTCTCTTTAGGCAGGGGGGTTGACTAGTGAATCAGCTTAATCATAGCAATACCAGTCATGAACAACTCCAGTCACGCACACAACAGTATGGTGGAGCAGCCATGGAGCCACATAGTATGCGGAGGATTCCTCACCTCCCTGTGCAGCAAAGCCTCACCTGTTCCACTGCTTTCTGAATCCATGACACTATTTGTCCCCTAATGTACCAAAGTCCAAAAACATCAGCTAGAACAAAGAAACTCAGAGGTTTTGGTTGCAAGGGTTCAACTTGAAAGATAGTAAAATTCACTGCTTGCCATGTGACTTCCCACTAAAGCTATACATTTCAGGTTCACTCTAATTCTGCTCATGTTCCCCAGAAGGCTCTCACAGCTCAGGGGTCCCTTCAGCAAGTCTGGCCAGAATTTTAAATTGTAACAAAAACTGAATCAAAAACCTGGATTTTGCTTCCCATTATGAAAGTCTTACTCAGCTGTCCCATTGACTAATTAACACTCTACAGGGATGTTGGTTTGTATTTCTGTTTCTCTAATGCCCAACAAAACATTCACTGATTAGTTTCCATTTCCAATAGTTTAGAATACATAGGGCTTATTTTCCAATAGCTGCAGGGGAATTTAGCACCATAACTGCTTTACTTTCAGTGAACATCATCCAGATACTATTTTTCATAATATTTTAAGGACCTAATCAGCCCTTGGATGCCTGTCATTGGAAGCCAAAGCAAGTACAGAGACACCAGGTTTAAGTGTGGTTTGACTGTGCTTCTGCTGGTTTGGGGGTTCACACTCCAAGCTTCTTTTAAAGGAGGAATTATAACTCTTCTCTTTCTATCCCCCAACAAGGATGAAAGAGATTCTGGGATGGGAAGCATATGGCGTTTCCTGTCCCCTGTGCAGGCATCTATAAATACAGCCTGTATTTTATTACAGGACAGGGAGATTTCATGTACAGCAAGATTTTACAGCCAAGACAAAAACTCTTCAAACAATTGGTTTTCTAAATGCATTGGTAAATCCCTAAGGTACAGCAGCAGCATTAATGGGTGCCACTGTCAAAGGACATGGTATTTGGAGACAGCTGAAAAGTGGCTTTCTGTAGATTTTTTCCCATTTCAATCACATATTCAAAAATATGCCACTTATATTTGTACAAATTTTACTTTGTTCATCACAAGGAAAGAGAACCTTACTTCAAATAAAACTAATTAACTGTGGGGGTAGGGGTTTGGAAAAGGAGGATAAGTTTAGATAGCCCTTTTGAATGGGAGATTACTCATGAATTGGAGAAATCCCCACAGTGCATTTATGTCAATAGTATTGTACATATTCTTTCCTCACACATTCCAGTACAAGATGTATATTAAATATGTGTACCAAATGCTTAACTGGCAGTAAGTCAACCTTTTCTGAGTGAACAGCCCATTGATGATACAAAACATTTTTCTTTTTTCCCTCAAAAAATGAGAGTTTGTTGCCCATTATTCAATGACTTTTTGTCAAATTAGGGAACAGAGAGCTTTTTATTCTTTCCATGAAGTGCCCTTTCAGATTCAGTAATTGTATGTTCTGTTCCTCAGGAAATGAGAGAAGATCGAGATCGGTCACGATTGGACTCCATGGTGCTGCTAATTATGAAACTGGACCAGCTCGATCAGGATATTGAAAATGCTCTCAGTACAGGCTCTTCACCATCCAGCACCCCAACGTACAAACGGAGGCATATACCTGTGAGCCTGTTTGCTAACTCTTTCTTTTTATTCTAATTAGATTTATTTTGGTTCATTCATTCATTTCTCTTCCTCTCTATCTCTCATTACTTTGATCAGCCTTTCACTTGCAGATTGCACTTTTCTGTGAAAAGAGAGCTGATATGTGGGAGAATTATGAAAACGTCCCAGATGAAAGAATGGGAGAACAGCAAAATTCAAAAGGTGTCAGGCTGTTTCTATTACCTCTTATCGCTAAGACAAATTAGAGTGGAGTTAGAATCACAGTAATGTTAGCCTGTGAATATATGCACATTCCACTTGATTTGCAATAGCTAGAGTTGAAAATGTACATTAGTTACAGTTTATTTTGTTCCCAGTTGTGGGGTCCAGAAATTTTTCAGCAGGGAGCCACTTGTGGGCCACTTATGAAATCCTCCTCTGTTAGAATAATATTCCAGCATAATCCACAATTTTTATTTAGATGGAGAGTCTTTTGCAGAGGACAATGTGAAAGAGGATAGAGCGGTTCACTAACTAATGAGTAAATTGTTATTTTAGAAGATTTATTTAAACAAGTAGATAGATGTGAGGAATACTACCAACTTTTCAACTGTCTTGTTTGAGATGTTATAATGCAGGCTTTCTGCTCATCTTAACCATCTCTATTTTGCAATTAAAAATAACCAATCTTAAAGAAACATGTTCATTTTATCCAGTGTTTGGAATGAAGCTTTTTTCTAACAAAGTCATCTTCATCATTTCCATACAGTCTAGTTAGTAATATGTAGGAGAAAAATGGTTTTCTATTTTTATTTGAATCTTAGCATGTTGGCCAGTTGAAGAATATGTAGTTAATAATATAATACAATTCATGTTTGTATTCTGTTACTTAGCAAAAAGTTTGACAGCATATTACAGTTAAGCCACTTAAAATATAGAGGTGTTGAAATACCGCCAATCATAAATATTTTATTCTCTCTCAAGAGGGGCTGCCATAATGTTCACTATTTAAAATAATAATAATGCTTTTTGAAATCCTCGACTGGCGGTTTTTTTAACTCATTCTTAGAAGAAACCAAATCCAAACTGAAAAGGAAAGTACAACACAAAACAACATAGCTACTACATATCTCTGAAATCTTTAATAGAAATGTTTTCAGTTTAAATGAGAGAATTTTGAAGATTTTGACTGGCTGTTAAGTGTCTCCTGATGTCATTTTTCTTTTTAATTTTATTTCTCTTGTTGAAATTACATTGCACTCAAATCTTCAAATTGCATAGAGAGTACTCTCAAATTCACTTATGCTCAAAGGTGCAATTCATCCCTGTGCAAAGGACCTGCCCAAAGTTCATGCACCCACTCAAATCCCACTTAAACCAAAGGAAAGTGGGATTTAAGCAGTACATGAGCTTTTGTGCAGGCTCCTTCTGTGCAGAGATGAATTTCACCCATGATGCTCAATCCCACTCCCCGTACAGACACGTGCAGAAAATCCCATTGACAATAATGGAATCAAAGTGGAGTCCAAAATTCCCATTGAAATTAGTGAGTGTAGAAATAGGGACCCAAACTATCAAAAAAAGTTACACTCTATTCCCTTTAAATATAGCTGGCTCATGAATTTTCAAGGAGTTTTAACTGTATGGAAAATTTGAAGAGACATTAATAAGTCATTTTTGAGCTAAAAGGAGACAGAAATAAAAGTCCAAATCAAGGTAATTTTTAATTAGTTGTAACTGGAAAAAAAGGCATGGTGTATGTTCTTCAACTTCGCATAAACTTTCCCCTCTGCTTTCAGAGTCAATCAGGGAATTCTGGGCAAAACCACTTTTGCAGGTCAACGTTATTGGCTTCTATTAAGCCTTCATAATGGCAGCTGGTTGAAAACTCAACTATTGGCAGGCTGCCTGTTCTCCATAAAAACTTGTATTAGTGTGATTGCTTGGAGGGGAAAAAGATGAGGGATGGAAATTAAGAAGTGTTATCTAGAATATTCTGAAAACAGGGAAATGTTTAATTCATTTCAGATAAGAAGTACATGTGTTGCCTTGACAATATAGATTCCAAGGTCAGAAGGCACCATTGTGATCATGTAGGCTGACCTCCTGTATAACACAGCCCATTTAATTTCCCCAAAATAGTTCCTAGAGCATATGTTTCAGAAAAACATCCAATCTTGATTTAAAAATTGTCAGTGAGGAAGAATCCATTATGACCTTTGATAAATTGTTCCAACGGTTAATGACCTTCATTGTTAAAAATTTACACTTTATTTCCAGTCTGAATTTGTCTAGCTTCAACTTCCAGCCATTGGATAATGTTATCTCTTTCTCTGTTAGGTTGAAGAGCCCACTATTAAATATATGCTGCTCATGCAGATGTCGAACAAAGATGTCACTAGAATAATGTAACTGTTTAAGGCCAATGTTGCCTCTTATCTTCATAACCTTTTAAAACTGCTTTATTTTAATCTTTTAATCTTTTAGGGACAACTTGTGTGCTTAGATATCACATGTATAACCTTCACTGATTTCCTTTAGACTGGAATTTGCATGTCATAGAGGAAAATCTGGCCCTTAATGTTCCATTGTTCTCAGGGGTTCTCATTATAGTGAGTTTAATATATGATACGATAATGAGAGAGCCATAATATCTATCATCCTGCTTTGCATTCTACAGCTGTCAGTTGTGGGGTGCCTGTTGGAAGGCAGCATGTAAAAAGCCCCAAATAGCTACATGGTATACTTCTGCTAGCCAAGAAAACAACATGAGGCAGTGGGCGCACCTAGTGAGCTTTCCAGAGGTGGCTAAGTGTGCTCATTTGGTTTGGCCTTTTAACATTCTCTAGAGGCCTAGCAGTGCACGTGTTTGTATCTGAAAATAATTATGCAAATAGATATGAAACCCAGAATGCATACAACATTGCCAGAGGGTGGCTGGCCCCTTTAAGAGGGAACAGGGTCCAGTGCACCTGGGACTCATCAGCTGCTTCCCAAATGGACTTAAGAGTAGGCATCTGTGTCATATAAATGGACAGAGGCTGAGAGAGTGGGGAATCAGTTGGAAAGGGGCAGGTGAGAGCTGTCTGGGAGAGACAGAAAAGAGCAGATGAGAGCTTCCTGAGGAGGGAAGGACAGAAACAGGAGCAGCAGAGGACAGCTGAAACAGAGAGGCATTGGGAAGAACAAAAAGTGAAGGAGGCTGCTGGTGAGGACTGGTCAGAGCTGGGAAATCCCTGCTGAGTTACAGGCAGGCTTGCACAGAGGCCCCTAGGAACAAGGGGAAGAACAAGCCTGATTCAGAGAAGCTGAGCCCAGAACAAGAGGGTTAATGCTAGAGGCTGGATCTCACAGACAGTGAGGAACACTGTGGGAAGCCCTTATGCAGCAGGCCTAAATGGAGGTCTGTGGGAAGCTGAGCCCAGGAGCAAGGGGTTGGTCTTGGAGGGAAGTTCCCTGAACAGGGGCAGGACTCACAGACTGGGAGCCTTCTCACAGGAGATGTGACTTCGGGCTACTGCAGAAGTGGCATGGGAGAGAAGCGAATCTGGGAAGTCACAGGTGGATGGCCTAGAGCAGGGGTTCTCAACCTTTTTCTTTCTGAGCCCCACTCCCCCCCAACATGCTATAAAAACTCCACACCCCACCTGTGCCACAACAACTATTTTTCTGCACATAAAATCCAGGGACGGCGTTAGGGGGTAGCAAGCAAGGCAACTGGGGCCCTCACAAAGCTAAGTTGCTCAGGCTTTAGGTGGCAGGGTTTGGGACCCTGGGCTTCAGCCCTGTGTGGCAGGGCTTTGGCTTTCTGCCCTGGGCCTCAGTGAGTCTAAGGCCGGCCCTGCTTGGCAGACCCCCTGAAACCTGCTCGCATTGCCCCAGGGGGCCCCAGACCCCTGGTTGAGAACTGCTGGCCGAGAGGGTGGAACCCTGGAATGAGGATAAAAAGAGAATAGATTGGAGATGGACTCTTGGGAAGGAAAGCTGGAAATGGCATCCAGGGAGGGGGCATGGAAAACTGCTGTGAACCTGAAACATATTACTATTCACACCCAAGTGCAGTGTAATATGGTGCAGCTCATTTGTCTTAGATGACTGAAAGCTTGATCATGCACTTTGATACACACACTCATAGTTATCACATTGACTCACCTGCATATGTGTGTAGAAGAACAGTAACTAATTTTACAAGATAATTAGTGATGATGCTTGCCTTCAGAATGAAAAACATTAGCTGAGCCTTTAGAGGGATTCAAAATATGAAATACTGGATTATTAGCATTATTCTGATACTGTACTGTTTACATGTGATCACTGATTTCCTATAAACCTTAGTGCCTGTGAGTATTGTGCAAAGTAGTATAAAAATCTTGTTTCCAAAGCAATTATTATGTTTACTTTGTCTCAACTAGATGTTACATGGTATTTTTAAAAGGATGTGTTTATTTCCTCAATACACTATTTTTGTTACATTCTTAAAATGTGAATATAACCCTTGGCCTAAAAAGTTAAGGCATTTTAACCAAAGACTACATTTGGCAAATGCATCCCATACTAATTTAATTCCAAAATAACAAGAAGCTGCACCTTTGAATTGCACAAACTGCTAAATGATGATGTCACCTCATCTGTATAACGATTTACAGATGTTCACTGAGCTTGCAAATGCTTCCAGAGAAAGAAGGTGGGCGCAAAACCCAAGATACACAGGAAACACTAAACATTAGAAAATAATGCCAGACTTCTGCAACTCTTAGATGTTTTTTTTTAACTCTACACCCTCCCATTTAGGGGAATAATAGCTTTGATGTTAGTGGTGATTTATAATTTCAGCACAGCAGCTAATGCAAACCACCTTAACTGAGAAGAATGAAAGCGAAAGAGTGCACATGTAAGGGAGGAGAGAGAACAAGGGGATGTTTGCTGTTACCTTACAGAATTAAAAATATATTATATTTGGATATGCCTAAATAAACACTTGTTATTTATGTTATTTAAATAACATAGTAACCTGCATTAAACAGTTCCATGTTAACATGTACTAAAGAGATTTGTATCATTTTTGACAGGATTTGGAATCTGGCTCTGCAAGTGGAGCAGACGTTGTTTCAATAAGTCACTCCCAAACACACTTGCCTCCTGATATCCATGCTGCTGACCTAACATCTCCATGTCCAATGGCTGGCTCTGGAGCTAAACCCAAGGCTGGGGTGAGTTTAGAACAATGTTAATCTTATCATATGTCCTAATTATTGGACAGAACTGATAGAGTTGTTGTGCCACATGCTATACAGGCTGTAGAGGAGTATACAGTCCCTAAGCAATGTATTGAAAGCTTTGAAGTTGTCATAGGTTTCCCTTAGCATGTTTCCTAAAATGCAGGATGCATCTCAAAATGCATGTTGTGGCATAGAATTCTTAGATAAACTAGAGGTTTGGTATTTAATCCGAGACTATGTGCTGATAATTTTTACAAGTTTGGCTTTCATGTAAAAAGACAAACCATAATGGAGACATAGTGTTTGACTTTGGACGATAAGATTTACAGCAGCTGTGAGGAATATCTTTCTGTGGGATTCAGATTCCGATAGCATACATTTACATAGTGCTTGTAGCAAATCAAGATAGACAAGGGAGCTCACTAATTTGGGTGGCTGTCATCACAGGTCATAACATTATGTGGTGATGCAACATACCTTGTGGTAACAGGATGTCAGCAAGGAGAAATAATGAAGGGGACCTGCAGAGAACAAAATTATCTGAAATGATTTCATCTGTGTGTGCAATGTGTAAAGCAATCCTTAGTGTTCCCTGCCCCCATTTCTCCCTAGCTGGAGAATCTGTACTGATGCATATACACACAAGAATGGGAGAGTCGAAGGAAATGTACGTTGGCTAGTCTCAGATACCTAATGCAATTTCCTGTAATTTAGATGACTGACATTTCAGAAGAGACTTTTTTTTTTCTTTGCAAAACCTATGTTAAATATTATTTGCCTTTCTCCCCAAAACATGGTGAGGTCTTCTTCCTCACTACCCCTCAGAGTGAGGGGGATCTGCTGAAGGCACACAGTTTCCTTTAGATGATAACAGATGGATAAGGGCCTCAGAGTTGGGACCCATCTTTTCACGTTCAGGTGCTGTTGCAGTTCCACTCATTGGAAAGCCTATGTACCCCAGAAACTCCCAAGCCAGGCACCACCTCCTTCTGCTCTTCTCTCTTCTTCAGATTCTTCTGCTGAGTAAATCCTCACTTCAACAACCAGAGAAGTCTAGGCTTCTCTAAACTCTGTCAGGGCTGGCATAGAACCAACCAGAGAATCTGGGCACCTTCACCAGCTCTGTGGTAGACCCTTCCATTTCTCCCCACTGCTACACCCAAAGGTAATTGGGCTGACAGAGAACTTGGGCCCAAACCTAGAAACAAAAAGTGAGCCTGGTATAAAACAGCAAACTTATATACTTATTTTTACACATCAATGTGTACTGCACTATAATAGCAAGCTAACTAATGGCTCTTTATTACTGCAGTTATGAAGGTTCCAATAAACATTTATTTGGATTTAGGATTCTGCGCTTGTGTAAAAATAAATTCCCATGTAATTAATCATTTGAACCAGTGCATAGCTATAGCAAATAGAGGGCTCTGCACTTTGTCAATAATTGCATAAAGCACAGCACAAGCTCTTGAGCACAGTAAAGTTGTTGGGGGATGCAGTCTGAATGTCCCATTTCACCATCCCCTTGTTGAGAAGAGCAAGCATCAAAGACTCTGAACGGTAATAAACATTTTTTTCATTTAAATTTCACTACTAATATTTGGGGGTCTTTGAACAGCTAGCTTTCTGGTCATCAGTGGTGCCTTGGGATAAACATCACTGGAAAATGTTAATTCCCCATTTAAAAGCATTTGTTCTTTGATGACTTTGGCTCTGGGTTAATGCTGGACATATCTAAGTAGTTCTTTTTCTGTGATGTGCATTTTTAATGTCTACTTTTTGCACTGATTCTGTTTTTTCTTTTGCTATGGAATAATTTTAAATATTTTAACAGTGTATATAGAGGTGTATACTTCATATACATTTACAGAGTTGCAGCAGTCACTCCATATGTAAGATTAATTCCAAGTTTCCATTTTATTCAACTCAATTTTCAAAACCTCCCCTAAGTTTCCCTAAATGAAATCCCTCTTCCTGAAACTTTTCATGCTGCATCTCATTCCAGGGTTGAGGGTTTTTTCCTGGGAAGATTAGTAAATATGATCACACTAAGAGCTGTCGGATACTATGGTGATAGATTAGATAAATAAACAATGGATCCAGTCCCCGGTTATTTTCTCCCGCCCCTCAGAAGGAGTACAACCCCCAGTAGTGCCAACTTCTACCAGGTATGCTCTATCACTGTGGGTCTTGTACATAAGAACATAAGAAAGGCCGTACCGGGTCAGACCAAAGGTCCATCTAGCCCAGTATCCTGTCTACCGACAGTGGCCAATGCCAGGTGCCCCAGAGGGAGTGAACCTAAAAGGCAATGATCAAGTGATCTCTCTTCTGCCATCCATCTCCATCCTCTGACAGACAGAGGCTAGGGACACCATTCCTTACCCGTCCTGGCTAATAGCCATTAATGGACTTAACCACCATGAATTTATCCAGTTCTCTTTTAAACTCTGTTATAGTCCTAGCCTTCACAATCTTCTCAGGTAAGGAGTTCCACAACTTGACTGTGCGCTGCATGAAGAAGAACTTCCTTTTCTTTGTTTTAAACCTGCTGCCTATTAATTTCATTTGATGACCCCTAGAACTATAACAAGGTTTAAAAGAGAACTGGATAAATTCATGGTGGTTAAGTCCATTAATGGCTATTAGCCAGGACGGGTAAGGAATGGTGTCCCTAGCCTCTGTCTGTCAGAGGATGGAGATGGATGGCAGAAG